GGTTTCTGTTTAATCCGTAACTTTTTAAGAGCTATAGCTCTGCGACATCAGTAATTAGCTGGGTGGGTACCACCACAGTGTACACATTTAGATTTTTTATTTTGTGGTTTTTATAATCTTTTGCGAAACGTTTTTTCATGTATTTTGTAGACCTCGGCTCTCTTCTACAATAATTTTGTTAAGTCCATACTCTTGACATATTCTGCATTTTGATATCATTTTCGGGTTTCTGAAAGATTTTATGGAAATAAGGGATTTATATGCGGAATAACGATATTTGGTAAAAGCAGGTAAACAAACTGGACACGATGAGCACTGAATATTACCAAAAAGTTTGAACGCCGCTCTCTGTTTATCATAGCTAGTCTTATCAAAATATTTTCTTTTTCTGTTTAGTTTTGGATTATTCTTTTATTATGTTTTAATTAGCATTATTTGCGCAAAGTTATCGTAATTGTTAAATAATTGGTTGATAAGTGTATTGTTTGACGTCAGTGTTTGAAATGCTAACTTTTTTTTTGTAAGTCAGCTACGCCACTGTATTTTAAATTAGAAAATGTTAAAAGGTATTAATTGCTGTGGCAGGTATTGAATACATTTTCTAATAATTTGATTAGCTTGTAATTTGGTTATTTATTTGTTATAAAAATTTTAAGTTATTGCTTCATTTATTCCAGAATAAATTAATATTGAATACAAAATATTTCGGTATTCTAGGTATTATATACAAGGTAGTTTATTAGGAAATGGACATACATTAGAAGTGGATATGAAAACACATAATAACTCTCCTATTGTTTGTAACCAAAAAACAAGATGGCATTAATTTAGTTCATTTTTTCTTATTATTCATTACTAACAAACCATACTGTAGATTTTTTAAGATGCATTGCATGCGAGGATATTTTGATATTGTGGCACTTAAGGGATACAAAAAGGGGATATATTGTGGGTGCACTCAATCAAATAAAGCATATATCGCCGGTTACTCAGTACGGATGAGATATGAGGGTGAGAGGTTCTTTAGAAAAGATATTGATAAGAAAACATATGTTTTTACTGTAATCTCAAAACAACAAACTTTTTAGATATAACTGATAAGTATTGGGCAGCACCGGAACTTTTAAAGGATCTATTGGGAAATATAATTAATAATTCAAAATATATACTATCACACAGAAAGGGAAATTTATTATAGTCTGTATGTAATAAAAAAACAAGTCAGTTTATCTTATAGTATACATTCTGGAGACTCTCTTCATGCTATAAACAATTACTATCAGTTTTAACCAATCTTCTGCGTTTAAAGTAAAATATAGGCATTTCCTAATTTCTTCCAGTTCCGAATCTTGGGCTTGCTGCAGCCAATTCACAGCGATTCTTTTTACGTAATTGGTCTACCTTCACTTCTTCTGTCTGCTTGTGGTCTGCTTTCTGTAACATGGCATGAACAGTTTCACTTCGCTCATGCTACGCACTCTATGACATTTGTGATGCTCGTCCGTTTTCGCATTTCTTTGTTTCTATCCCTGTTTCTGAGAGTCTCCGTCTGGATCGCGGAGATGAGAATTCAGCCGGCGCAAGTTATATCTGCCTGTGGTAAGAGGTAATAGTGTTTTCCAATACCATAGAAGGACTGCTAAACTTAATGAGCAAAATAACGGAAACAAGTAGAACATATGGACTGGATATAAACACCAGCAAAACCAAGCTTATGATCATCAGCAAGAAAAACATAACTGGAGTAAATCTATAGATAAACCAAAGGAGAATTCAAAATGTCTCACAGTACAACTACTTAGAAACTATAATAAATAAGTCGTGGCCAATACCCAAGAGATTAAATGTTGCATCGCAAAGGCAAAAAGTGCATTCTTGACTATATAATATATAGAAACTATAATCAATAAGTCGTGGCCAATACAAAAGAGATTAAATGTTGCATCGCAAAGGCAAAAAGTGCATTCTTCACTATGAGCTCTATGTTCAAGAGTTATGCCTCACCCTAGAAACAAAAATAAGACTCCCTAAATGATACGTGTTTTCATCGCTTCTATACGGCGTAAAAACGTGGACATAAAAGGCAGAAACTCTATTAAAACTTCAGGCTTTTGAGCTATGGTTATTCAGAAGAATCCTGAAGATACTATCGAAAGGCAAAGTTACCAATGAAGAAGTACTATGAAGGATGAATACAACTGCGGATTTGGTCAACATCGTGAAGGGCCGTAAGCTGTAGTGCTTGGGAGATATAATAAGAAATTAAGGCAGATATGAGCTACTCCAATGCATTTTGCAAGGTAAAATTTAAGGAAAGAGGGCATCAGAACAAATAAGAATATTTTAGTTTGCTAACTTAAGAGCATGGTATAGCAGCCAACAAAGCCATCATATCCAGAATGATCGCCAATGTTCGGAACGGATAGGCACCCTAAGAAGAAGAAGTCGTAAGAGACTACTAGAAACGCACGCAGGGCGCTTAGGCGTTATGGTCACCGGTCTACACTCTTAGTATCCAAAACGAGCCTTTCGTGGGACCACCCTACTCTCATTCCACAGAACCAAGGTCAGGTTGAACGTATTGCGTCCCTCATACCACTTTTCCCCATTAAGAGCGTTAACGGCGAGGCGGAGGCAAGTACCCTCCTTTGGAGATTCAACAGTGGTAGAGGAGAGCTCCTCGACAGCTACCTGTTTACGTGAGAGGTCGAGCCTCGACCTGCGTTTACCTTTCTGCTCCGGGGGGATGACAAACAGGTGTTTGTACCACAACACGGGTACTGCGATGCTTCTTGCAACACGCCACCCTCAAATGGTGTCGAACTCGTAAGAGTTAGTGGCTAGCTGAAGGTCGTATGCCAAAAGGCTAGGCTGACGAGGGTCCTGCCAGCATTTATTTGTTGGGTATACACGAATTTCTTCATGTCTTTGAGAGTCAGTCCAAGTAGCGAGCGTTCCATTTTTCTTTGCTCTACTTTAAGTTTGATTGCTATATCCTGTAGTGGGAAAAGTGTTTTGGTACCGTAAGTCATGACTGGAAGCACACATTGATCGAACGTGTTCTTTTTTAAATAATAAGTATAAGTAATAATAGGTATATAAAAGAGATAGAGTTAAGATAGTTATATCGACCCTAAAAAACGAACATATATCTTTCGTACCTTAGTTAAATATTATTTTATTCAATATTTAATAGTCTAGTAGTTATATTCTTTTAAAATATAACTATTAAATTTTTAAGATAGATATTGCAAGAGAAAACGAAGGAAGAATTCATCTTATTTCTTTCCGGCAAATTACTTTTCATCAGTTTTTAATTTAACGTATTTATATACTATATTTATGAACTATAGTTTTATATGTTTCATAATAAATTAAATAGGATAAAAAACTAAGCGTTTTGTCTACATTAAAACAGTTCACTTTTTGGAAGGTATAACTTCCAAGGTAATATCTTGGGCCCAAAAATGAAAATGTAGACTGCTAGAGAAAGCCACATGGCAAGGCAACTTCCAAGAAAAGTGCCACGTGGTTGCAATTCTTAGTCTTGCCAGAGATTATATATAATTATATATTGCCAATTATATGCCTTACCCAGGGACTCGGAATGTAGGTTTTTGTGTAACATTCTGGCGAAGGTCTAGTGTCAAAAATTTCAAGTCGCGCAAGCACTCCTAACATGACTTTACTCTATCTTTTGTAGACGGGACAGACGACCTTACATGCACTCCAAAGCACGGTAGCATCTTATTTAAATTAAAAATTAAACAATTTTTTAACTTTGAGATTGTCGGTGTACCTTAAAAGAATTCTTTTTTTAAGAACTACCCACAGCCAGAAAAGATTTAAATAAAGTTGATAAAATGATTTAAGATAAAGATGAAGAAGGATGACACAATTATTTAAAATAAATATGAGAAAGGTTGATGTTAATGGTTTTACTTATAGCGTGTTTTCACAATGCACGGCAAAGGGACTGGCTGCTTTCATCTCCTTAAAACGAGTGGAGATTTTGGGATTTGCAGTTAAGAAGTTTGGCGACTTATCTTCCGAGTGTTGGGGATGCGCTTTACCAATCGTATTGTTATAACAAACGGAGATTGACATACACTATTCACCAATCGGTATTCTGCCAATAGCGTGATGTGTTTTTAGCTGCCAATAGCGCTGTAGCTTAAAGATTTTGTTACAAAATTTAATTTATAGAGAGTGGTCCGTACAATTCATTAAGAACCCAGTGAAAGACAAACGATTTGATTCAATTTTATTTCTTTGATTTTATTCGATTCAATTCCATTCTCAGTTGGACCGTTAAAATATTTAGTTAGTTTTTTCTATTTTCGGGGAAAAAATATTGCGTTAACATAGCAATGTAGAATAGAAGAAATTATTAAAAGTGTTAGTGTTCAGAGTAACATTTTGGATCAGACAGATTAAAAACAGTAAGCGTCATCACAAGCTACAGTGCTGCAGAGATGCTTAAGTGTTGGACTCACTTGTACCAAAGCACTTCGATAAAATGCAAGGATCATATAAACAGACTATGTCGAAGAGAACTTTAAAGAGAAATGTTTAAATGAAGAAGACACGATAGACAGGAATGAAGAAGAAAAAGGATTAGCGACTTCTCAAAAAGAAAAAGCTAAAGGGGAAAAATTGAAATTAAAAACCGACCTCTGGTCATCTATATAGATCACAGCTATAGAGAGAATAACTTCTGGATTGTCTACTCTACACAGTTTCTACGTCGCATAGTGTCATTTAATCTTTTCCCTGGGACGCTGTCTTTATATTCTACGTTATACCATTTATCTAACGAAGCCTGGATTTTACGGTTTTTATTTTCCACAAGCTAGATAGTGCTTATCTCAGCCTCTTGAATCGTTATTATTATACAATAAAAACAAGAGTAACTACTACCTGTAAGAAACAAGTATTTTATTAAATACTTACTTGCTCTACTTTATTTATAGTTACTTTTTAAGAACAACAAATATATTAAAATAAAATCAATAAAATTTATTTAATCACAATATAAAAACAACATTACATTCACATACTTATGGTAAAATTTTTGCAGCTTCTCTATTTTGGCGGGGCAAATGCTCAATCATTTTCTCAAAAACGGTTTCTGCTACATCGCTTACAAATGGTATAACAGTATTACACTCGGTTTCTTTTGTACTTACATCCACAAGAACATCATTTAACAATACCTTAAGAGTTTCTAAGGGGCAGTTAAAAGTGCATCCCTTGATGATAATTGTTTCCAAATTGTCGGGCTCGTTTTTAAACCATATGTTGACATAATGCCCTCTTTCGTCTTTTCTTAGTTCTATATAGATACAACTAGCAAATTCTATATAAGGAGGTAACTGGTATGCTTCGAGGGTATTTAATACTGCTGCTAAGGTATAATCGTGGGCACTATACATTTGGAACTTTGGAGATGATTTGGGATCTACTGACATAGTATCAAAGTAGTTAATGATTTCGTATATTAGGGAACCTACAACTAAAGATATAAGGTTAGTAATTATTATAATATGATACATCATAATCAGCCATGATTACAGCGAATTATATTACAGCGCTACTTAAGTATTTTAATACCGTGTACACTTTTGGCTAAATGAACTTGGAAATTAAAAAAAAAACTAAATGCATTAAATTTTTTAATTATTTTTTTCGGGCTCCTCTTAAAGTAGTTTTTCATATGTATTTCTCTAATGTCAAATTAATTTAATGATTCAAATGATATAAAAATTGAACAAATATAGTATAGAAAATATATTAGACTAGGCGGGATCTGTAGAAATTCAGACTATAAGTAATGGACATTTTCCATAGGAAGCTATTTTTTTGCTGGAATCCCTTCAGGATGTGCCCAATATTGATAATCACGATATGCGCCAGTCGCAAACCCTGTGCTAAATTTTTTATTTAACAAAATCTAAAAACATTTGAAAATTTCTCATTTTTTGCTCCTATTTTCGTTTATAATTCGGAAAATATTGATCCTAGAGAAAAAATTATAAAAAGTTAAAAGTTTCGTTATTCAATTTTACACAATATTACGTTAGCTAGAAATTGAAAATTTAATGTTTATTGTTAAAAAAATAGCAATAATTGTAACAAAAGTACACAAAAATGAAATTAATCCTTTAAATGTTTTCGACTTTCTAAACTTGACTTACAAGTTCCCTATTCCGTCTAGAAAAACTTTTTAATATGTTGACAAAACTTGAAAAGACGAGGGTATTCGTTTAAAAACGAGCCCTCTATCACTTATGGTTACACGGCAAATGCGGCGGGCGAACTTTCGACACCAAATTGTCTTTGTACCTGGGGTAATCGAAGGGTCAAATTTTATTATAGGAAATTTTGACACCGCGGCGTAAACCAGGTAGGTAGGTAATTAGCGGCGATGGACATTTGCACCCAAGCAGGACAAGCGGGTTTTCCCAATATTTATTGTTACGGCGGGGGGCGTGGCACTTGTGTACTTGTGACTAAATTATTTCAGTTGTAATTTATTTCTTGTTTGACGTTGACTTGTGCACGTATACAGATATTTAAAAAATGAGTTTGATAAAAAGTTCCCGTGGTCGAGATTTATTAGTGGTGGAGCATCATTCGTTCTCGAAACAGAAAGTGTTAAAAAGCGGCGAGATATTTTGTCGCTGCATCCAAAGAAACACTAAGTGTTCCGCAAAAGTGTTTACAATAGGCTGTGAGGACCTCACCATCACAAGAAGTGATTTGGTACATAATCATGAAGCCGATCCAAAAAAGCTTGAAGTAAAGATGGTAACCAATGCATGTAAAAGAAACGCCCAAAAGGACATATCGGAAAAGCCTGCCAAAATTACAAGAACTGCTGTTGCCGAGTGTGATGCCAATTTGCTGACGGTTCCTGACATAGCTAGCATAAGAAAAAACATTTACAACTGTCGTCGTAAACTGTTACCAGGTCCGTTACCAAGAAGCATATCAGATAAATGACCTTCAATATCTCAGCAACCAGTAAGCCGAATGTATCTTTTTTTTAAAGAAGCGTCTTTTAATGTTCTTTAAGCGTATAAATTTCAAAATTGATATGTTTAAAGCTCGTAAAGTTATTCAATTTGTTTATGAGCCTAAAAAACGTTTAAAACTTTTAAAAAATTTTTAGGCTCTCCTAGTGAACCGATTTGAATTTTACAAAAAGCGTTTGAAAGTTTGAGCTTTCTTTTATGTATGTAAAAAAATTTGCAACTATCTGAAGGCCTTATTTAGGGCCTACTATAAATTTGAAAATTTGCGATTTTTTTCCAGTAGGCTGGATTGCAAAATTATTATGCAAAACCTATCCGACCGATCTTAACAAAATTTAGCACACGTTTTAAACATATTAAAAAGTTTTTCTAGCCGGAATATAGAGCTTATAAGTCAAGTTTAAAAACTCGAAAACATTTAAAGGATTAATTTCATTTTTGTGTACTTTTGTTCCAATTATTGCTATTTTTTCAACAATAAACATTAAATTTTCAATTTCTAGCTAACGTAATATTGTGTAAAATTGAATAACGAAATTTTTAACCTCTTATAATTTTTTCTCTAGGATCAATATTTTCCGAATTATAAACGAAAATAGGAGCAAAAAGACTCTTAGAGTACCCCTAGTAAAGTCATGAATGGCAAATGACAAGTAGAGTAAATAAACTTACTGATTATGGAGCACGGAATCCAAGATCCGGCAGGGGAGGAATAACTGTAGATCACAGGGCCTCCCAGGTCGTAAACCAGAGAAATCCCTGTGGACTTCGACTGAAGACATTGAAAATAGCAACCTGGAATGTCAGAAGTTTATATGCAAGTGGTAAATTAGCGAACGTACTGCTTGAAATGGAAAACCTCCAAATTGATGTTTTAGGTATAAGTGACGTACAGTGGCCAGGTTCAGGCAAACAAATTACAAATAATGGAACCATGTATTATTCAGGTAACAACGAGGTCAATCATCGTTACGGTGTTGCTATCTTAGTTGCAAAAAAGGTGAATAACTCTGTGGTAAGTTTTACTCCATATTCTGACAGGATCTTATCAATACAACTACAGTCTAAAAAAGGTATAGTAAATTTTATTCAAGTTTATGCTCCTACGGCAGATAAAGATGACGACGATATCGAACTGTTTTACCATGATTTGGAACAAGTCTTAAAATCAATGAAAAAACATCACACTACAATAGTAATGGGCGACTTCAATGCCAAAGTTGGCCAGGGAAGAGTGGATGGATATGTGGGGGAATATGGTCTAGGAAATAGAAATGAACGTGGTGACCGTTTGATACAATTTTGCCAGACGGAAGAATTTGTAATAGCTAATACACTTTTTAAGCTACCAAAAAGAAGGTTGTATACATGGAAATCTCCCGGTGATACAACGAATAGAATAATCCGAAATCAAATTGACTTTGTCCTTATTAGACAAAGATTTCGTAATTCTATACTGTCTGCCAAAACTTACCCTGGAGCAGACATCGGTTCAGACCATAACCCCATAGTAGTCACATTACGAACCAAATTAAAACTGGTTAAAAAACCCACACAAAGTAGAATTGATATTAAGAGATTAAGGGAACCACAAACAAAGGAACAAACTGTAAAAACTCTTACTGAAAATATACGTAATGCCCAAGAACTGAATAAAAGTAGCTATAACATTGATCAGAAATGGGAAAATATAAAAGCAGCAATAATTAAAACAGCAAATGAAAACTTAAAACCAAAGAATAGAAAACATAAAGATTGGATGACTGAAGAAATACTACTATTAATGAATGAAAGAAAATCATTCAAAACAAAAAATCCAATTAAATATAATGAAACTGATCGATTAATAAAAAAGAGAATAAAAGAAGCTAAGGAGAGAATGTTACATGAGCAGTGCCAAGAACTAGAAGAAATTGAGAAAAAATATGACTTTTTTAACATGCATAAAAGAATTAGAGAATTAACAGGAATGAGAAAACCACTTCAAACTAGGCAACTAAGAGATGAAAGGGGTGCACTTATAACAGATATAAACCAAAAAATGCAGAGATGGACACAATATATAGCACAACTATTTGAAGACAAAGAGAGAACAGAAGCACCAAAAGAATTTAAGGATGATACTGGGCCTGACATTATACGAGAAGAAATTGAATATGCAATGAAACAAGCTAAAGATGGTAAATCTCCCGGGCCTGATGAAGTTCCTATCGAATTACTTAAAATTGTGAATACTGAATCTATTGATCTTCTTCTGGATCTATTCAATACCATATATAGAACAGGTATAATACCTAAAGAATGGCTCCAATCAACATTCATACTGCTTCCCAAAAAGCCAATGCAAAGGAGTGCAATGAACATCGCACCATAGCCTTAATGAGTCATGTCTTAAAATTGTTTTTAAAAGTAATTCACAATAGAATACATAAGAAATTAGATGAAGGCATAAGTAATACACAAATGGGATTTAGGAAAGGACTGGGAACACGAGATGCACTGTTTGCAGTAAGTGTTCTTTCGCAGAGATGCTTAGATATTAATCAGGAAGTATATGCCTGTTTCATTGATTTTGAGAAGGCATTTGACAGAGTGCAGCATAATCGACTTAAAGAAATTTTATTAAATAAAAACATAGACAGTAGAGACATTAGAATCATCTGTAACCTCTATTGGAATCAAACAGCAAAAGTGAAAGTTGAAAACGAACTGACCAAGGATATCCAGATTTGCCGTGGGGTCCGCCAAGGGTGTATTTTATCACCCTTGTTATTCAATTTATACAGTGAAGCCATCTCAGAATTAGCGCTTGCCGAGATCAGTGAGGGCCTTATAATAAACGGTGAGCCACTTAATAACATAAGATATGCTGACGACACCGTCCTTTTGGCAGGAACACTAGAAGAACTGCAACACCTTGCTGAACAACTAAATATATATTGCAACGATTATGGATTAAAAATCAATTTGAAGAAAACCAAGTTCATGGTATTTACAAAAGCACAAAACATCAAAGTTAAGCTAGTACTAGATAATACAGAAATTGAACAAATATCTTCGTACAAATACCTTGGAGCATGGATCACAGAAGATACTGATCAGACAAAAGAAATAAGATGCCGCATTGAAATTGCGCGGTCAACTTTTAATAGAATGAGAAAACTTTTTTGTAATCGCGATATCAATATATCGCTCCGGATAAGAATGCTTCGATGTTATATTTTCTCTACCCTCTTGTATGGAGTTGAAGCTTGGACACTTAAAAAATCCAACATTAAAAACCTAGAAGCATTCGAAATGTGGTGTTACCGACGCATTTTGAAAATATCATGGATGGATCGCAAAACAAACGAACAAGTTCTCGAACAACTAGGAAAACAATGCGAAGTTTTAAATTCCATAAAGATCAGGAAATTGGAATACTTGGGGCACATCATGAGAGGTGAAAAGTACGAACTACTAAGGAACATAATGCAGG